CAAAGATAAGGTGGCTGAGTGTGTTCGTAGGGGCTGCAGTGTCTTCTAATCTATTCCATTGATCCTCAGGTCTATTTTGATGGCAGTACCATGCTGATTTTATTACAGTATCATTGTAGTATGGTTTCAAGTCAGGAATTGTAATGCCTCCTGCCTTGTCTTTATTACCCAGAACTGCCTTTGCTATTCTAGGCCTTTTCCTGTTCCAGATAAATTTTAGGAATGATTTTTCTATGTCTGTGAGATATATCCGTGATAGTCTGATAGGGATTGCATTAAATCTGTACAGCAATTTTGGGAGTATGGCCATCTTCTCAATGTTGGTTCTTTCTATAGAGAAGCATGGAATACATTTCCATTTTCTGAAATCCTCTATGATCTGTTTTTGAAGCTTACTGTAATTTTCCTTGAAATTTCTTTGACTTCTTCTGTTAGATTAATTCCAAGGTATTTCATTTTCCTCGGTGCTATTGTAAAAGTTATTGTTTCTATAATTTCCCTCTCAGTGTGTTCTCTGTGTAGAGAAATGCTAATGACTTTTATGTATTGACTTTATAACCTGCTATGCTACTGAATTTCTGTTTTAATTCTAGTACCTTCTTGGTGGAGATATTTGGGTCTTCCAAGTAAAGTATCATGTCTTTTGCAAATAAAGGTAATTTAACTTCTTCTTTGCCTATTCTTATTCCTTTTATTTCTTTCTCTTGTCTAATGGCTGTAGCTAATGAGTCCAGAAGTATATTGAATAGGACTGGTGATAGAGGACATCCTTGTCTTGTACCCGATCTATAAAAGATTTCAGTTTTTTCCCATTTAGGATTATGTTAGCTGTTGGAGTTTCATAAATGGCTTTTATCAGATTGAAGCAGAGGCCATCTATTCCAATTTTCTGCAGGACTTTGAACATGAAAGAGTGTTGGACTTTGTGAAAAACCTTTTCTGAATCTATGGTGATGATTATGGGGTTTTTAGTTTTCACTCTATTGATGTAGTGTATTACATTGATAGATTTTCAAATATTGAACCATCCTTGCATCCCTGTGATGAATCCTACCTGGTCATGGTGTATGATCCTCTTGATGATTTGCTGTATTCTATTTGCTAGTATTTTATTAAGGATTTTGGCATCTATGTTCATGAGGGTGATCGGCCTGTAGTTCTCTTTCTTAGTTGCATCTTTCCTTGGTTTTGGTATTAGTATTGCAGCCAGGAATGATTTTGGGAAGATTGCTTCCTTTTCAATTTCATGGAAGAGTTTGAGGAGTATAAGGACTACATCTTCTGTAAATGTCATGTAGAATTCAGCTGTGAATCCAGCTGGACATGGACTTTTCTTTGCTAGTCGCTTTTTAATTACACCTTGTGTTTCATTGGCTATTGATGGGCTATTCAGAGTGGTTATATCTTGTCGATTCAGCTGTGGTA